TGCGGATGCCTCTATACTGCTTGTCTTTTTAACTATATATAGTAATGATGCACATCCTGGATTCTACTGCTAGCCACTGCCCATCATTACTATACATATCAACTCTGCCTAATGCAAATACTTAGTCGAAGAAGGAGTAGTTCCTAATATCCTTAATTGAATACATGAATATGTTAACTGTCAGTTTGACTATCTTAGATAGCTCTGCTTTGGCAGACTTACATTATGGTCACTAGATAATAATTGTAGTTGAAATGTAAATCTGGGTCATAGCAGGGTTCGAATAGCGACTCGGCCGGTAACCGTTTAACCACTTGGGTCAAAATGTTAAGTTATTCTCATTATTTTTCTTTCTATATTCTAGTTGAAATCCAATTTCATCATTGATGTTAAGTAAGTGAAAAAATTCAAGTTACCTGGAAGATTTATTAAGAACTTTTTGACAGTCACTAATTTCAAGTTAGGTCTACCAGTTTTTTAGTAAACCTTTAATCCAGCATTCAAGAGATCATCATTAGTTTATTTCAATCATCACGGTTTTGCCTAAAAACCTTATGAATTCGTGACACATTACTAACGCTTGATCATATTTACACTGGCTGCCTCGTCAAGACTTCTCATCCCAATCCAAATGTAAGTGAATTAGAGAACAGGCGAGTCATACTGATTATCATTTTGACTATCTGAAATAGCTTTGGTTTAGCAGACAGCCCATAGGGATTGAAGTGAACTGAAAATCTGGTCAGTAGTCGGACCTCGTAGCTCAGCTGGTAGAACATGGAGCCGGAAACCCGATGATTGTTGGTTGGAATCCGGCTGTGGTTCGAATTTTCATTTCACCTTCAATCATCACCCAGTATAAATAGTAAGTAGTCTGCCGAACCATGGCTATCTCAGATAGCCAGAATGATAGCTTTTTTAATAATCATGTTTACACAGTTGGAATCAACAAAGACAATTGTTTCAGAGTTCTGTGTCCATGCTAACAGTCTATTTGTTGTCGAATAATGTAAAATTCATTTATGAGACTTTTATACAAGAGAACAATATAATTGTAAACTTTCAAAAGTCAAAGTGGTGTGTAATAATGACAGTAAATCCTACAAGAGGTGACTGTCTTGAATTCTTCCCATTTGTTTAACAAGCGAATTATTATTTATTCGCTTCGGAAGTTATCACAAGGTCAAATATTCAAACCCATTTACTGAATGCCAAAATGCAGGAATTTAACACTTCCGTCATTGTTGATGGCTGAGATGTTTTGGTACAAGTGAGGGTTATTTTATTGGCTGTAATTATACAACTCACTTGGTGTTAAGCTTTTCCAAAAAATTGTTTCTTAGTGGCATTAACCTTATGAAGTTTAAGGTGTCAAATGCTGCATTTCCACTTATATCTTCCACTAGTTATAAGATCTTTTTCTAAATCACTGATAATATTCAAGGACACTCATATGCAGATGCGTGAAGATTCGTTCCTTTTAAGTGGGAAATGTTAAATATTCCTTACTGATTCAATGTGAAACATAGATCATTTAGTATGATATCGGAATACAGTCCAACTTCAATGTACTTCAGTACACCTTAGTTTCTTTTGGAGATGCCAGCCAGAGACTTCGAAACTATAAGACAGAAGGCTGCATGTTAAAAAGACTATTTAAAATCGAGAATTTAGTTGTTTTTGACATCACAGAAGACAGCCCTCATTATAAGTGTCCAGTCAACGCCGAATTCAAAAGATTATTTAACATATTTAAATCGCTTGTTCATGCTCTTATAGCAGCTGTTAACACAATTCTTCACCATATTAATGAAAGGAAATCAATTTACTTTCGATTCAATGACTGACAAGCCAAATATTCCATAAGTAACTACACATGTTATAATAGTGGATAGCAGTTAGCAGTTGAATCGAGTATGCCCATTTCGTCTTATTTAAGACTCGTCAGCTGGTCCAATCAACGATGGTATAATACAAGCAATTATACTAGAAATGTTTCTTTAAAATTTGCATGATAAATCATTTGCTGGACGTTGAGATTTAGTTGAAAGAAAGATTTGCTGCTAAATGGCATTATTAAGTAAGGGGTATTCGCTCACACGAGGAAACTAGTTTTCCGTCGACGGTACAAATATGACTCACTCACTGCTAAGTCAAAGACTTTATCTCTAAGATATTTAGTTAATGAGTGAGCATCTGACAGACTGGATCAGTTATATGAATTGATGACCAGTAATTAATGGTTATAGCTGCCTAGTTACAAGGGTTCAGAACTGACTGAAAATTGTCGAATAATTTGTAAACATTGTAAACTTGACTGAACTATTTCGGTCACTTTTTAGGGCTGAAGGGTGTTAAAAATGTGTCTTTATGTAAGTCATTTGTTAGTGAACATTGAATATCTTGTTTTCTAATTGGTATGCATAAAATATAAGTTTGCTTTTTTTGACATACTTGTAAATGAGTACAGTCGCTGCAACACTATCAGCCGTCAGGAATGTATTCGTCACTAAAGGAAACCATATGACTTTAAAGATTAAATGACACTTACTTAACTTTGTAGCCATAAATTTCATTAATTATCTGTTTAAACTTTGACAACTCAAAATGTTGAAACTTCGAACTTCATGGTCCTAGCATACAATCAGTTTATATACCTACATTTTTATTCATTTCCTCAAATTTCAAAAGTTACTTATATCATTATGACTCTTCAGCATGATGTAAATTTAAGTGGAAAAATGTGAGTATCCTGGATAGAAGAAACACAGAGAATGCCAGAAGTTTGGTACTCAGGTCAGTCGGTAGTCAACAGACACATTAACACTAACCTAACCTCTCAGCCAATAGGAAACGCCAAGAAGGTCATCAAGTCAACCAACCAAAATTAACATGAAGACAATGATAAGACCTTGGCAGAAAAAACCAACCACATGCAAGGCCATCAGGGTGACGTACTTAATAAATTGTAGAGAAAACCTTACAAATCATTTCCTTCTGAAGTTTGTGCTAATGAAAGCTCTGTGGTTAGACCATTCAGCTCAAAGAATACGTCATCTAAAATATAGATTATTTCCTATAGGATGAAATATTTATGCGTTTGTTTAGCATAGGGTTTATGTTGCAGACACTAACTTACCAACCGTTTGTTATAAGGCTCGATATGCTTTCTACCAGTTTTCGTACAAATTCGTTGGTTGGTATGCTTGATTGTTTCTTACATTCTAACTACATGTCTCATTAAATTAGAGAACAAGAGCAAATTTCCCAAGATGTTTCCACGAGTGATATATAGTCTGAAAGCTTGATGTAACAAACGAATGAAAAAATTTAATACTTTATGATCAGCGGATTGCAGTTGAACTATTTCATGACATTTCATTTGATGACTAAGCTTTCCATCTAATAATACTAATAAATTATCACAGAATAATCCTGTTTCATTCATTTTTTCATGTCACAGCTTTAAATAAAGTACAAACCTGAGTAAATAGTGTGGATAAAAATCCATCTGCTACTTGTTACTCACTATGTACAAAGAACTTATGAAGCTTTCGTAACAAGACTTTATCTAATTTATTAGTAAATGACTATCTTCGGAATCTAACACCAAAATAGGTAAAAATGTAATCTCAAAGTTATGTTTTGTTCATGTAGTTGAAAGTTTGGTTTTCGTCGAAAACAGATGTCATCTGGCGAATCACTTAAGTTTAAAATATACAAATAATTTAGCTTGTTTTATTACATAAATCATTGAGTTCTGAGACAATGACAACCCAGCATATGCTTATTTGTAAAGATTTTTAGCGTATACGCTTAGAAAAACGTCTATATTACTAAGTAAATAAATGATGATAACTTTTTCTTATCGTCAAACAGTTAGTTACATTACTGATATGTTTTGTAGGTTTGGCTTTAGGCTCTACTTCCTTCTTTATTAGTCAGTAATCAAGTAATATGTATAATAGATCAAAATGTATACATTCGTTAATCCGAATGATTTTACAATCGTGTATTTCTGCAGATTCAAACTTCTGTTCATTAGTCCCAAGACACTTGACTTTCACTTGCTGCGCAATAGATTCGAACATTGCTTCACCTATTCAGGTCTCAATAGTCAGGTTGTATCATTAACCTTCATATAATAGGTATGAATTACTATATGCTTTGATTTGAGAAATTGTCTTCTACCTGAAATGTGCATGTTACCTTGTTCTGATGAATAGTTTAAAAACAAACATTTGTCAGAAAATCAATCTGTTCCTGAGTTTCAAGTAATATGCATGATCACATTAAAAAAATATTAACGGAACGATGCAACATTTGAGTTTTGAGATCAGACTATTACCATGATATCATCTCTTAAGTGGATACTATATCTTATGGTAGTTTCATCATCATTCTACACTATATAACCATTTTTCATTATGTTTTACAGCATTACATAAACTATCTGATCTGTCTATTTGAACAGGAAGCCCACAGTCAAAAAAACAGAAGCCAAAGAACCAGTTGTATTCAATTTTGAGTCTTCTCGAAGGGAAACAGGTTCATTTTTTTAAAGTTCATGAAAAAAGTCACAGTTCGATGGTTATTCAACAGCACTGATGCCTTACTGAATGATACTCAGCAAATTTGACTAGTCAGTTGCATTCAGGAGGCATAAGTAAACGAAAACAATCTATTTGAGTATTATACATTTTCTATCAACTAAACTTCAGTGGTAACATGCTGGCTACGGAACCTGAAGGTCCTGAGTCTGATCCATGGCGAGATCGTAGGTAAGCGCTGCTGAGGAGCCCCATACTGGGATGAAATAGCTGTAGAGTGTCCTCATGCTTCCAATGTTCCTCCAGTTGATGTCAGTCCATGATGAATTTCAACCTAAAATCAATCTATAAATCTTCACAAACCTTCAGATAGAAATAATTAATAACTTTCTGATTGCGATTAAAAGTGAATTTGAGAATACAACTAATCATAAAATTGATTTCACTTACTTCTCTAATATCGATGCGATTGTCGTTGTTTGTATCAATTACACTTAATAATTCACTGACTAGTTCATGTGTATCTTCTTCAGATAACTGCTACAAGTTGAAACAAATGTATGAAACCAGGAAAACAGATAAACAGTGAAAGACAATCTAAACAGAAAGGTAATTCAATTGAATTTTAACAGTTTGTACAGTCTTTACTTTTTTGATTTACTAATAGAAATACTCATGAATCAACATTTCTTGTTTTATTTCTAGACTGTTTTTCGCAAAACTTAACAACTTGTACGTGTTCCTAAGGAAGGCAAGCAATCTAGCAATTATAGACAATAGTATTGTCAATAGCCTGATCCTAATTTTCAGTTAGTTTGTATTTTTAGTGTAATTGATCTTTATTCTAGGATACCCACTAGTGTTATACTGTCAGAAGCAGCTTTCAGGAAGCCATGGACCTGTTAGTGGGTTGGAGGCAATCAGCAGGAAGCCCTTGACCTAGGTTTCGTGCCTTATGGCACTCGTCAGCAAGGCGTATCTGCAACCTCAACGGAACTGATGTCCCGCCTGAGATTCGAACCCGCGTCACCCAGTGTTGTAGTCAGAGACTTTACCACTGAGCTATTCGGGCCGCGACTGACCTCCTGTAGGACTGGCTTACATGTATTGATTAGTCATGGGAGTGCAACCAATTTCATGTTATCTACTCCTGAGTGCAGATGGAATCCTATCGATCATATTTGCAACCAAGCTAGGAATGTTAGACGGGACATCAGTTCCGTTGAGGTTTCAGATACACCTTGCTGACGAGTGCCGATTGCCTCCAGTTGACTAACATTTACTAATATGCACTACGATGCTGAGCTTCCTAGCTTGATTGCTACATTGCAAACATGATGGATAGGATTCGGTCTGCACTAAGTACTAGACAATGTGAAATTATTTGCACTTTCGTGACCAGTCAACAGAACCATGGACCCAGATTTCGTGCTTGTTGGCACTCATCAGCAAGGTGAACCTGCAATCGTTACAGAACTAATTTCCTCTTTGGGATTCAAACTCATTTCACAGTCAGCCACGTTACCACTGAGCTATTCATGCTACAACTGACGTCTGGTAGGACCGGGTTAGGTACCTCACAGCTTTTTTTCTGCCCTTTCTCTTTTTGTCAGCTAATTACTCCACTGAAGACTTGTTTTTGAAGTTTAAAGTTATTACTAAGCCGCTAAAATTGTCATATTTCATCCATATCTTTTTGAAATTATTAACCCATGAATAAATAATTATTTGAAGCAAAGAATACACAAATTTTTGTCTATTCTTTGTTTCTTGCATGAATAATACAACACTTTACACTTTTTAGAATTACTTTTGTCATACATCAGTGACTTGAAATAAACAGCTGATTGGTAAAATTGAGCATGATTAAATGAATAAGGCACGAATATATAATTTATTAATAATCAATAAGTATTAGAGATAATACTAAACTAGTAAAAATTTAGGCATGAGTAAATATAAACATTTAAGAATGTGTATATTGAGTACTTTTTTTGACAGACGAGAACTTCACCTATTCAATTGATATACAAGGAAGTTAATAATGAGTGATCAGGTCTATGACTACCTTGTACAAAGGTTGAGCACTTCAATTAGTCCCTACCTAGCCTGTTGGTAATTATTCAAGTTTAACAGATGCTCAACCATGGGATCTACCATGTTTGATAATAAACGTGAATTGAAAGCAGTTTTTAATATCATGGACTGGCATCATTTAGAGAGCCATTAAAAAGCTGGAAGCACTGAGTAGTTGTTCCCGCTAGCTTAAAAATCTTTATCAGTTCGTATCGATGACCATATTAACAATCAAGTGAAGAACAGAGTGAATGCTTTACCATTCAGTCACTGAGTGGAACCATTAGGCTGACGAGAAATATTTTCATATCAGAATCTACAAACTAACCATTATATGTCGTACATTGTGATGGTAAATGTGTTCTTTTTCAGAAAATTGGTTTTATTTAATTTTCTGGAATACTTTATTTATAAGTGCTAGAAAAGACATAAGTTTCACTGCATCCATATGTCACATGTAAACACCGAGTCGAAATAATGACGTCATTCAGTTTATTGATTGTTTTACAAACTGATGTATAGACTCAGAACAATATAGAAAGGTAAGGAAGTGCCTATATGTAATCGGTAAGATATTTTTCGTCCATTCAAAACTCTTCTGATTGGATATTATTGCATCTGACCGGTTACGTTCACCTGAATATCACTAGTACCTACACTTTTGAGGTTGAGTAGATGTTATTACCCAGAGAAAGTTTGAATTCAATGACTGATTTAATGACCATTAAAAGCCTATAGTAGTGGAATACAAACGCATTGCACTGATGTAAACATTGCATAATGTATATTCACAAACAAGAATAGCTGGGGGGATTTTTGAAATGAGACATATGCCTCACTGACAGTATTGTGCCAGAAACTTGGGCGTGATCATCTTACTGATTATCTACCTATGTTTAACACATGGTACAGCCTATAATACATCTATTATTTTTCTTTTTATGACAAAATCGTGCCACTCAGTAGATAAACGTCAATCAGAACCTTGGGCCACATTACTTTCAACTAGCCTGATATCACAAAGCAAAGTGGGTTGGATCTATGAAGCCACAAGTTCAATTTTCAGTGACAATTATCCTGGTAATTGAAGTATTAGACAGTCTAAATTTTTGGTTAAGATATAAACGGTTAAAAGTGTTCAGATGACTAGTCACTAATGGAAATACAATTTTACTATATTGTCAATCTGTAGTTGGTTTCGAGCTACAAGTTTACTTTTGGTAAGAAATATTGACTGTTTTTAGTTAGCAAGATAAAAATTAGTTTTTTCAACCAGTGATTGGTTTTCCTATTTCTCACGAAGATAAAGCCATCAGGTCACGAACATAGATTATAATCCTAAACACGTGTAGTATTCAGTCACATAACAAGTTGACAGTGACCAGTCTGATCAGTATGTTTTATATGCTAAAGCAGGATGGCTTGAATATTTTCCGAGTGGTTAGCCAAAGTAAGACTAAATTTATCAATGACAACCAAATGCGAATTCAGCAGACAGTCAAAATGTTAAATATGCCATAATTTGTAAGGATAGGAAAGGTTTACTTTCTAAACAAAATTTGCTTTTTCCCACCCTTGATAAGCTTGATTCAGAGTATGAAAAACATTTGCGTGGTATTTTGGTCCTGATGATGATATCTATTTCGTGATGAATGAAAATGCAGGCTGGTGATATCAAAATGCTCATACCTAATGGCTATATACTGTTGAATTTCTACTAATTTTGTCTAAGCCAGATGAAAACTCTGTGAAAACTCTGTTATTCAGAACGGAAAGTCATTTTAACGTGTATTCGGTATAGTATTCACTTTAAAACTGTATGTTTCCATCAAAAACCCCATTAATTTTGCTCTATTCTAATCGTATTAGGAACCAATAAGGTTATTATTATTTATTTAGTGATACTTGTAACTGCCCTCTTGTTATTCTAGATCAAATTGATCAGCCTCTGAGCTCCTATGTAGAAGCCTCGATACTGTCAGATTATTCGTTATTGTGTAGTTTACTAGGAGTAAAGGAGTAAAACCACCTATCTATTAGTTATGATTATCAAAGAATATTGGCCCTTTCTTCTGAACACAGTTTCCTGGTAATGTATCGTGAGTATTATCTGTTGTGAATTGTATCAAAATCAACCGACTTAAACTAAACATTGATACGATTGGATCACGGCTATCTCATTTCTATTTACGATGAGAAGTTACACATATGACCAGAGCTTTTAAGTAATATTGCCCGAAAGAGTTCTTATTTACTTTTCCTAGCAGATTCGAAGCTAACCGGTTGTATTTATAGTGTTACTTACCTATATCTTAATTATTACTTGCAAGTTATTTAGGAGAACAGTCTTGTTTGTATTGTGTCCTGTTAGCTGCGTTGTTTACTCGTGAAGCTTTCATCGCCTTGCTAGATGACATCATCAGCACGAACTTCAGTATGAAGTGAGCTGTCAATATCTCTCCTTGACTGATTTAGTGGCTTGCTCTGACAATGTGGTCTGTGATTGGTTGTTTCCTTCGATTGTTGTGTCATTGATTGTATAGACTGTCCTGTTGGCTGTTCCTCTCCCTCACCTCTCACTTTTCTGTCGTTTATCATTTTTTCTTATTGGTTGATAGATCGGGTCTATGTCTAAACATCTCTCCATTGATTACTGACTGACTGATCTGAATACCAAGCTCCTAGGAATTCTCTGACATTCTTTGTGTTTCCTCTCTCCGTCCAATTCCTACATTGTCCAAATTGAATTCATGTCCATAATTATCCACATGCATTGAAATGAGTGACGAAATGTCGTGGCGTTTAATAGCCAATTGGTGCTCATGTAGAAGAAGGCGAAGAGGGTGGCCGCTTTGTCCAATGTAATGCTGACTACTACTACTACTGCAATAGCAGTTGATTTTGTGAATGATATTCGGTTTGTCTTCTTTGCTTGTTCCTTCCTTTGGTCTGCATAAGTGTTTGGAGGGAATTTGTTGGTTTATGAGCCACACCAATTCCAAGTGGTCTCAGCAATCTTGTTGTGATTTCTGATACATTCTTTATGTATGGTAGGACGATGCGTTTGTTGATTTCTGTCGATGACTTTGTAGTTGGTGATAGGCGTCTTCTGATAAAGTTTCGTGGGTATCCGTTCTTCGTTAGGGTGGACATCAGGTAATTTTCTTCGTTCTCCGTGAAATTGCTGTACTGCAGTGTGTTCTCACTCTTTTGAATAGAATCTGCATGCAACTGATTTTGTGTGTTGTTGGGTTGTTGCTATTGTAGTTGAGGATTTGATGTGTGTGTGTGTGTGTTGGCTTCCTGTACACTAGGGTTTCCAGCTTTCCGACATTTGTCCTACTGACTAAAACATCCAGGAATGGTAGTTGGTTGTTTGACTCTTTCTCCATTGTGATTTGATGTCATTGAAAACGTTGTTGATCAGACTGTGGGTGTTTTCTATATCATCCCTTTTAATGATG